TTTGATATTTTTTTTAAAAATATCGGTAAAAAAAATTTAATTGTTTTTTTAATTTGTGAATTATTATTGTTTAGTTTTTTTCATAAAAAAATTACCCTAACGACTATTAGGCCAGTTATTACGAAATATGTATACCTGGTACATAAGTCTTAAAAGTAACCTAAAATCTTACTAACAAATAAAGACACAGTTTAAATTGAAACAAAAAATACATTTAAGAACACCTTTTTTGAAAATGTTCTACATTTGTTACATGAAACTGACAGTTTGTCATTATACAGTATATTAGCTACAATTAATAATAACAACTGATTAATAAAACAAAATATTTACCTTCTTTTATTAAATAATTGGATTGTACAGCATTAAATATTTATACAAAATATATATTATATTCAACAAATTTACTTTATAAAATATCAAATATTTTATTGTACGTAGGTATATATAATCAAACGAGGTGTAGCTAAAGAAAACAGCTGGCAGCGACAGGAGGAGCTAGAGTATGGGGTACGGTATATAACTAAACGTTAAAACTGAAAAACGCTTTAAAAAAAAGACACTGCCTCAAAAAGTATAGAAAGAATATTGGATTCTGTTTTAACGACATGGCAGTGAGAAATATAATTTTTAATCGGCGCATACAGTAACCAAGTTAACTTTTGGAGTTTAGTGATAATATTATATATTATGGATGAAAAGATTATTATTTTGTACGGTTAGATCACACATCTCTAAGTTTTTGGAAACCATTATGGTTAATAATAAAACATACTCGAGAAATAATCACAAATTTTTAAGGAAACTGTTTACTATATGTGACTATTTAAAAAATCAAACTATTCTATAGAAAAGTTGTCAATTATCTAGATTCAACCAGACAAGTCAAACACACGCTCACACACAAAAACTAATAGTGTACATCAGAAAATGGAACAACACATTTATAATATTTTTCTCGATAAGTTCTGTTCAAGTCCACGTTGCCAGTTTTCCAGTTTTTTATATTTGAACCAAACATTTTCTGTCGACTTACCTGTACGAAAATTTATAACAATACGTTTAAACACTTTGAAATTAAACTTTTAACTAAAAACTGATTAATATAGTCAGGATAATATTGTCGATGCATCTTCATTGTTCCCCGATGATATATGTAAATTAAAGAAATTGCATACTACTCTACATACATTCTCCATTTGAATAGACTATATGTATACTACATCTAGAAATATAGAAAAATAATATCACGATATTATTAACCATCAAACGGTTACAAAAATAATGATTTTACTTGTAGTTATTAATTATTAGTTAAGAATTTAGCTAGTCGTTTCAAAAATGTTGTTTGTATAATATTACATATTGTTTAACCATTTAGAATAAAGCTGTATTGCAATATACGATAATATACTGCTGTTCATAACGCACGCGTATTTTTTTATGTGCCTACGTCGCCTTCAAACTATTACGCCTATAGAAACCTATAGTATGAGACTATTTACTTTAACGTTTTTTGATACAAAGAATAAATCAAACGCTATTTGCTAAGTATGTAATTTGATAATACGGTTTGTAGACTAACCTAACAGTTGTTGTATTAATTTCTCCAATGGTTTTAATGTGTTTCTCGATGTCGTCGAATATACTGAAAAGCAGTACCGAAAGTGCAACTCGCTACACGGCAGAAATCAAACATAGTGTCAAACGAAATTCCAAGTACCTATCATGGTTAAGTGTAGCTCGTTCATGGCAGTTTTATTTATGTGTCTAGTGATAGTTATTCAAGATATAGTATCCCGCGATTGTGCCCGGAGTTTACTTCATACTTCGATGAACCCAACGAAAGCAGAATTGTGCGAATACGCCTTTAACATACAGCGGCACATGAAGTTGACAAGTCAGTTTTACAATGACGATTTGAATGGAGTAAAAATCCATATAATATCGTTGTACTGTGATGTGGCCGTCACATTACTGCACACGTTACACAGTCACGGTTACACTAAACATATCGATGGCGTGTGGATGTTCAATATATACACAAACAGATTAAAGGATTTTTTCGCAAACTTGGTCAACGAGGAAAATCGGCTAACAGACAAGAACATCATCACAAGTATTTACGCTGTCCACAAAATGGTCGATTTGAAGTTTTACGAGTTCACGATGAGCTTGCAGTGCGGTAAGTGGTATCATAATAAAAACGATGACAGCACGAATCCTAAGTTTAAGCGTTGGGCGACGGTAAAAAATCCGACAACCGCCCCCAAGTACCATGTGTACGACGACAGTACTACATTGAAAACCTACACGGAATTACAAAAAGTAAATTATAGTTTTGAAGAAACTAGAAAAATGGTCTATGCAAATTTCATCTCGATCAACGAATTAATAGAAAACAACAAAATCAAAACCAGTGTTCAAAAGCTCAACGAGCAGAATTTTGTAATTTATCGATTGTACTTGAACAAAGTGCCCAATAACGAAATGTTCATCAACGGCTTGTCGAAATTCTTAATGAATAACGAGTTCTGGGAGGTGAATACGAAACGTTTCAATGATCTATTCAAACAAGCGTTCGACGTGACGACTCTAAAACACGGATTAAAAAGCATAAGAAATTTCCAAACGTTCTTCTTCGATTTCGTGCAAACAATAATTGTGCAGATCACGGCGAAGTTTTTACTACATATAAAAACACTGCCCGAGTATATGATGCAAACAGTATGTTCGGCGTGTATGACAAATTATAATATATATTTCAAGAGGCTTGCCATCGTCCTGAACCAGATCGTAACGTATTTTGGTTTGCAACATTCGTTACTCGGCGAATTCTTAAACACCCTAAACCGAGTCAGTACCCCCCCGTCCAAGGAAAGCTGGGACATGAGGATAGAGTATTTACACACAACAATACAAGACATAAATAAACGGCTCGTTAATAAACATCCTTCGTTTTCGGACGGCAGAATGGATTTGGATAGCATAAATGATGATGAAATATTACTGCACATTCAAAAGTTGATTAAGACTTATACAAAAGAAATATACTTGAAGTCGGTTAAAAATCCAGTCGACAAGAGTTTAATGGTCTTAAGTTTTTTTTATGTTTTTATAAAACAAAATGATTTTTTTTTCGGAATCGACTTTCAAGTAATTCGTAAGTTCTTAACGTCAGGAGCCAATTAGTTTATTCATAATTTATATTTTACCTATTATGTATATATTTTTTTATATTAACTAAACAGTTTAGAATTGCACAAAAAGCAATTTTGATTGATGATTTTAAATAAATTTGTATATTATGTTATGTTAGTGTCAATTTGTTTATTATGTTACTTGTTATAATAAATACAGATTATACTTAAGCTAAAGTGATATAGTAATAATTGTTTTGCTCTATTTTTGTTTCTTGATTATAAAAGATTTAGTATAACTATAATTCTACATTCTACTATAGTCCTCATTCGCTTCTCGAGAACGATCATTTTATTGATATTACTTTTTAAGAAAAATATTATTAATAATATTTTTAGAAAAATTAAGAATTTTCGAAAAGTACAATGCCAGTTACCTTCCCGGGAGTGTACTCAACAACTTCCCAAAGTTTCATGGTGATCGGATGAATGCCTTACTCCCGTATCGCGCCATAAGATGTTTCCCATCAAAAACCAAAATCCCTTTGGAAATGTATTCGTTGATCCGCGTGATCTGGCGTACGGGTTATTTAGAAAACAAAAAATCATCCGTTAACTCACCACCGCATATCATGCCTGTCACTGTTCTATTACTTTCCGAATTAGCCAAACAAGACTTATAGTGATTAACTATGCGGTATGTATACTATGTAGTCAGATAAGTCCCGTTGACCATAAATAAATAATGCTATTTTATTTATAACCGTAGGAATACATAAAGGTGAATAATATAAATGATAGATAAATAAATACACCAAGCATTATAAAATCGGTTAAACACACAGCACTTAAGTCAAATTTTATTGTCAATTTGTTATTAGCATTAATATGCTAAATCTTTATGTATACAAAAAAAAAATACACAATATAATACAAACTGAAAACAACTTTAAAATTATTACAATAATAATGAAAATAATAAAATTAGTCATAATGATTATTTATTATAATATATGATATAAAATTTAAATTAATAATAAGTAATAATAATAAAATAAAATAAACTACATCACTAAAATACGCACCTATAGTTAATAGTTTTATTGTCACACAATTCCTCTAACCCAAAAGACATATTGCTTTGTTTTAAACAACTAACACGATATAACGATTGAACGTTACAAATTAAATTAAATTAGTACTTCCTACAATAATTATATATTATATTTAATAATGCGTACTTTGGTTCTAAAACAGCTAATCTCTATTCTTAAATGAAAATACTTTTAAACAAATAAACTGTCAAATGATTCATCTAATAATACTTTTAGACACACTTAATGAAAATTCAAAATTTTCATGTGTACTTGTATACACATTTTTATATACTACTAGACTGACTCTTTCAGACCCCCCAAAGTACTTATACTTAAAGATAAAATACATTTATAAATTTTTTTTTTTAAATTATAATATAGTGAAAATAATTGCAACAAAAAATAATGGCAAACGTCTGAAAAAAATAACAAATAAATAAACACTTCCATCTTCCACAATTACAAAAAAAAAGAAATCGGAGTTGTTCTTTTTTAATATTAAATACAAGCCATTAAAAAACACTTATTTTATGAAAACAAAAAAAACCGAAATATCGTTAAGCACCTCATTTATAATATATATATATATATATATATCACTTATCATGAATACATAAAACAATAGTTATTTTGAAGTGGTATAGTATTTTAATTAATTAAAAACTTCATAAATGTTACTAAGGAAAATGTATTAAGTTAATAGTTAAAATTATATTTGGGATACTCAAGTGTTAGTGAAGGAACATAAACTTAAAATTTTAAGTACATTTAGTTATATTTAAATTTAACATAAGCGGAAAATATAATTTACAAAAATTATAAAACAAATATATGATTAAAACTAGTAAATTAAATAATTAATAAAACCCTTTACCGTATAGATTACTTTAACCACAAATATTTTAATTGATAGTAAACAGCTTATAATTATTATTATGACAGATATACAATAATAATAATTAATAAATATATATATTTTTACTTTTAAATTAATGAACATTAAATAGTAGCTAAAGGTCCCGCCCAATGAATGTTATATTATACAATTGGATTTTGATTATTAATGTAATTATTTTTTTTTTTTTAAGAAAAGACTTGCTCAAGGTTCTATTACTAGACAAGACGCATTGGATTTAGATTTTTCAAAAATTCACTAACTGAATGATAATAAGAGCGAATACTCGACATTTTTGTCATTAACTGTTGTCAATGTAACTTAAAATAGGTCTTTCTTTTAAAACAATTTTTTTTTAATTCTATCATTTTGTGAGATGTACAGCCATTTCCAAAAATAAATTTGTCATAACCATAACGCATATATACATAGTTTTAAGATTGTATTTTCCAGTAATAATAACTATTTTTTAAAAAAATACTGATGGTTAATCTGCATATTGGGTTATTTTAATCTCATCACTATACCATAAGAGACTAAAAATATTCTGGCGTAATTTGATTAAGTAATAACTAATGGAGCACACCTAATATATATATATATTAATACTTTAATAATTTTATTCGTCTGCTGCTTATTGTTGAGTAGCATAATAAAATTAAATATTATAAACATTGCCGTAAAGATGTGAGGAACAGATTCGTTGCATTATGACGATAACAAATTTTTAGTAACAAAGTCTTCATATTCTGAAAAAATACATTTATTTTAAATTTATTCAATTATATTCTATTGGTTTTAACTTAAATGGCTATTAGGAGCTATCACTGCCTCCGCCAAGGAGGACAGTACATTTTTGGTAAAATGTATGATGGTTCCTTATCACGGATTTCGTACAGTAACGAAGCTGTAGTGACCAAGTGTTGACAAAATTACAATGAGCGTTACACACTACTGTCATACACATTTTACCACAAACCCTTATTATGTCATTTAGTAAATCAATAACTTAAAAATTAATTAAGTACATAACATTAACCAACATAAATTTGAGAGTCACCACTGTATAATATACTGTTTAAATTCAAGTAAAGTACAACCCAATTATAAAAATAATATTATAATTCACCTGAATTAGATCCTTTCATTTTTAATATGTGTGGAATGACTGTGTCAATCTGAAAACTGCCTAGAAGACTAGAAAAAAATATTTCTTCAATGATGTTTGGTTGTAGAGATCGCAGCGCTGGAAGACGTAACAATAAAATAGCTATGCGGTGTTCATCTGAGTTTTCTTTGTTAATATGTTGTTTTAACTCCTTAAGAGCTTTTTCTTGAAGTTTGTACAGCTGTTGTCTCTCAGAAGGATTATCTAGATAACATAGAATAATAAATATAATTATTAGATAGTATACTTATTAGAAATAAAGCACATACCAGTATTGAATAGAGAAATTATCTTCAAATAAGCATATTCTTCTTTAGTCACTTCTATATTTTCCATTTCAGTAATGTAATCCTGAAGTTTACTTAGATAATCAACTAGCTAAAAATGTAATTATATCTTATTAATACAATTCTATCTTTAATAAAAATAAATAATATTTAATTATTGGCCATCACTTTCTACTTTTAAAGATTGATTCTAAGCAAAATCGCTTTTTGAGATGGACTAAATAAATAAACATTTTCATAACTAGAATTACTATCACTTTATAATCAAGACGACTATTTTTATAGTAAGCTGTCGATTTATTATAAAAAAAGTAATACGTATTGAATATGAAAACAAAAAAATTGAACCTTATAGTCTTTAATTTACCTCTTTAGCTTTGATTGAATTTTGTGATTGAATACTTTCATTTTGTAAATGGGTTATCATAGAAGTAAGGACTGGCATCAGAGATAAAGCTTCAGCACACTGTGTTAAGCCTAACACAAACAACTGCGGCCATGCATTCTTTAATAAACTCAATTGAGTTTCAAATCTAAAAAAATAATAGTCTATATTAAATTTACATTTTTTTTAGGTACTAGAATATAACATACTAAGAGATTGTTTTATCACTGATTACACTGATTTTTTTTATATATTTAATACTAAGTGATGTTACTTAACTAAATAATTCCCTCTCATGCTCCTTCCCTTTTTGTATATATTTAAATAAAAATAAAATTTGAAAACTTTTAATGGTTATTTAATAAATGGCAGTCTGTTTATTATATTATTTATTAAATAATATAAACAAATTCTAATTAATATTTTAACTGTTATTCCTACAATGAATCAAGTAATCAATAATAATATAAACTGGCTATCAACCAGTCAATATTTTCACAACAGACAATTATTGCTTTGTTTATTAAATTATATATACCCAGATAGTTTTAATTTGATAAAGATTTTTTTTTATTTATTTAAAATAGAGAAAGAACACGAGAATATTAACAATAAAACAACCTCTGGTTTACTTAAGTTATTAATAATAATATAAATTGTTATTACGAAAGGAGTTGAAAGGCTGGAAGACTCTGAACCCAGTTTATTGTTAAAAATAACAGCCTAGATGCACTTTCACAGATAAAATGCAAGTTTAAATACATGCATTTTGGGCTCGGAGATTGGAATGGGAAGACAATGTTTGCCGGAGGCATTATTTCTCCAGATATATCAATAACTTTGTAATCTCGAGCAGTTTCGTTTTCGTATGTCGAATCACCACCATTAGAACTCTGCTGTGATCATAATAAATTTTATCATCAGTACACTGGTAAACGGATTACAAAATAAACAATAAAATATTTACCTGAGTTATATTGTTCATAGAATCTAGTGCTAGTGCTAATAGGCTTTTGTTATCCTGACTAAATGGCTTAACATCAGCATCGTTGCTCGGAGAATGACTAGCTGATGATTCGTCGTCTTCTGCCATATAATAATCCATATAACTTTGATTACGAAAAGAAGTGTCATTCTCACCTAATAAATTTAAATAAATTTTAAATAGGCTAAAACACATAATGAAACGTTTATTATCAAAAATAATTTTATACCATAATAGTCTTATTAATAATTTAAATAAATCATTTTTATTGTTAGTAGTATAGGATTTCAGCCTTAGCGACCCATTTAGGGTCGTCATTACTCATTCCATACAAAATGTTTTTCTTACAAAATTGAATATTCACTAGTTCTTCACAAGAGAAGGATTATTATTAAATAACAAACATTTTACTTGTCGTCATTATTTAAGATAAATAATTAATAATTATAATATTTCTTATGTTTAGTAAGAAAAAAAAGAGGGAAAAAGTCTTATTTAAATATAGAGTTAGGTATTATTTGAATAATTTGTTTAACCTATATGAAGCGATAAATAAAAATTTACGTTTAATTAATCATTTATTATTTAAATATTTGTGATAAAATTATAATATATATTTTATAACATTCAAAATATATATAATAATTGCAATAAAGATTCACAAGGAAATAATAATAGGTTCATATTATATTGTTATAAGAAAATTACTTGACGACTGTAGTAACTGAGCTGCTGCTTGATCATTAAACAATGAGCGGTGAGTTGCAAATGGTATTTCTGTTTTAATAAATGGTAAATCATTTTTAATAAAAGATGCCATTTCACTTTTTACAAAAGAACTGCTTCCGTAAGAAAATGTAGGGATATTGTTATTATCTGGACTGGTAGACATTTGTACTGATTCCGGTCTATCGGAAACCGGTTTTCTTTCATGTTGCACGGCTGATTGAGAAAAAAAACAAATATAATTAGATCAATTATTATTGACTTAGACTATGTAAGTAAGTGATATACATAAATAAATTAGGATCGTTTTATTGATATTCCAGTACTAAATATCAGTAAATACCAAGTACTTACAATCACTTCTCATGCCCATGGTTAAGCACTTTTGAAGGCGGCAATATTGGCAACGATTACGGTGATTTTTTGTTACCTCACACATTTTGCTGCCTCGGCATTGATAACCAAGCTGTTTACGAATAGACCTTTTAAAAAAACCTTTACAACCTTCACAGCTAATGGCTCCATAATGACGACCTGTAACAAAAATAATTTACGTCATCATATAGGTAAATGTTATTGAACAAATTTTATAAGGTTTTAGGTCAATTCATCCTTAACAAATTCATCACAATTATAGAAAACTATTTTTATATTAAAATTTTGCTTACTCAAAAAGTAATTGTATTATTTTATGATGAAATACATAAATATAGTTAATCAATTAATATGAAATACAAAATTCATTATCGTGGTTATTATAATGTAAACAATGTACATCATTTAAGCACCCATAATGTAAGTTTTCACGCATATGCAGACTATTTAGTTAGCACATTCTTATGTTACTATGGACCAGAAATTGTACACAAAATGTAATATATTAAGGTGAAGTCAAAAAAAGAATATATCTGTCCTAAAAATGTACATATTTTTCAGCTTTAAATAAGGCATGCTCTAACTTTTTCTAAAAATATTGTAAATTCTTGTTCTTAAACTAATGTAAGTTTTAGAGCTTATTTGTTAATGAACAAAATATATTAAAATATGCATTCAAAAATATCAAAATATGCAATTATATGCCTTTATTTTTAAATAGCAAATTTGACATGATATAAAATTTCACAAAGGTTAATTATTAAAAAAGGTATTATACGTATCAAGATAACATTGAATTTTGATGTGATTATTATTTTGTGATAACTATTATTTTGGTATGTTATCAAATTTAAAAGGACAATGACATTTTTTGTTACTTTTTTCATATTGTGTGTAATTTTTTTTAGCTCATACTCATAAACTCGATTAAAGATAATAATAAAATGGAACACTTTTAATAATAATGAAGAGTGAAATCAAAAAAGGCTTTAAGTACCATTTTTTCAGCCAAAAATGTTGTATGTTCCAATGCCAATGTAACACAATAAGGCAGAAATTTCCTCATCGATTGGCACTTACAGCCTTTTTTGATTCCACTCTTCAATTATACTAACAATTATGTTACTAAATCTAGAATTAATTATTATAAGCAAATATATGCTGAAAAGAGTCCAATATATACAATATATAAGTTTGCTGATTTGAAATCTAGTCTTTATAAGTTGAATTTATATTTTATTTGGGTAGAATTCTGATTTCACTAAAATATATGATAAGTCAAACATCCGAGCTTTAGTAATTTTCCTTTGATTTAACCTAACAGATTTGATAAAAAAAACCAGAAAAAATATCATACACTATTTTAACCAGAAGGGACTAACCCGATCTAGTGCGTAGTTGTAAAATAAAAAAATTATAGTCAAACTTTTTATCAGCCTCCATTATATGTTCCAACACTACTGACCTGGATTTTTTTACTTTATATTTATACTTTTAGTACTTTATACTTTTTATATTTGATCAAAGTTAGAGTTATAAACAAAATATATACAACAAATTTTTATTGTTATTACTTAGGATGAAACGACCAGATACTTATATTACGGGCATTACTTGTTTAACACGTATCATTATTAAAGATTTTAATTTTAGTATAATACAGTATAAACTTTTATAACAAATATGTTGCACCAATGTCCAACAATAATTAAATTTTTATTAAGTTTGATATAGAATAATTTTTTATTTTAATTGATTCACTCGGTTAAGAGAACATTTTGATTATAAAAATCATTAATTTGTATCCATCAATAAGAGTTATAAACTTTAAAATACTATAACAAATAAATAAATTTAACAAAAAAAAAACCTTACATGTTTTTTGTAGAATGCATTTAAGTGAAATCACTTACCCGATGCTCTGTCACCACAAACAACACATGATTCAACAGGTAAACAAAATGAATGCATCTTATCGTTACCTATCATCTCATCAATATTCATATTAATAACTTATGTCAATCAAACATTAGACATTTGTCTTGTTTCTTTCTCGTTTAATAGACCTGTAAAACATAACATAATTTGTAAATATTTATTTATACAATATAAATAATTAAAATAGTTATAAGTCTGTATACATAATCTATTTATAAAATTTAATTAAAAAGAAAATGTTAGTTTTAAAATTAATAATTTAGACAAGAAGGTCGTTGTCACAGCAAATTGTCTAAGGTGTCTAATTTAATTTATTGCTTCTATGAACAATTAAATTTTTTGTAATAGGTATCAATTGTCCAAATGTACATATCAATAATATCGACTTTGATTTCATCAAAACCTGATGGCAAATAATATTTTATCAAAGTTTCTTTATCATAAGTCACAACTGTCAGCATTACACACATTTATGTCCATATTTAAATATTAGGTGCGCATTGCCTAAGCAGTTTAATCACAATCCACACTTAAAACCATATATTTAGCGCTCTCTAAGTAATAATGTTATGTTGCCCAAAATGGCTAAAACAGATTCCAACCGTTGAAAATAATGGCCACTAGAACGATCATTTTGATCAAACTATATCAATGAGGTCAAAGCGTTATATCATTCAGGCCGTATTTATTCAACTATTTATGCTATACACTTAGGGGTTTACATCACTCTAAAATAACATATTAACTTATTAAATCATTATCAAATTAATTATCATTCTGTGATAAGTCACAGTTAAAATTTGCAGGTATAATAATTATTCATATATGTATATATTGTATTAATAACATATAAATATGATTTAGGTCTTGAAAAAATGTAATTTTAAAACATAAAAGAAAAGAAGTGAAGAAAATGTTTAGAACAATTCAATCTTAAATGGTTTATATATTGTTATGCTTAACCTTAGGTTATACAATATGTAATATCTGAATCGCACATAGAATTAGTAATAACAAAATTAGTAATTACCTTAATAGCTACGATCATTGTACGAACAAAATCTCAAATAACAAACATGTATACGTTTAGCATAATCTCATGTAGGTATCAGTGTATAAAGTATAAAACGCAGAAGTAACTAAAAAAATTGTTTGCAGTAAAATTGTAAATAAACCCATTGTTCAGTGTTCGACTTAATCTAGGTAAGCCAGCTACATCCATGTTTGTTCTTAGGATGGTGTCAAACAATTAGATAATTAATGTTTTTGCTTGGGTCATGAAAAACTATAGAATATTGACTTAACTAAACTATTAAATAAGAACAACAAAAAGAAAAGAAAAGACACCAAACTTTGTTATCGCGATCAGACAATTTCTAATAAGATGAGGAAAACTGATAAGAATGGGAACGCCTGTATCTGATACCCTACTTCTACCTACAGCTGTTTATTTTATTACATTTACAACAATACCTTGGTAAAATATTATTCAGCTCAAAATCACTGAAATTGCTTTCCAATTCCTCATTAAATTAGTTACATTTGCAAATTTTTATTGATTCAACCTAATCAACCTGTACTTATTTTATTAAATTTTGATTTACATGTTTTTTATTTTTTATTCCAGATGTAATTGTCAGCTGTATGGTGAGATCGTAAACTACCTCCACAAAACGTGGCTATAATTTTAGGTAATAGATACCTGAGCTCCGGACACGCAATGGTTCTTGTTAGAAAAAAGAAGTAAGAAGTAACAGGTAACTACCTACACTTACCAGCTACCTGAACTTACTTTTTGACAAAATAGGATAAGGTTCAATTGCATTATAAAAGGGGAAGGGGTCAATAGAGGCACCATTTATTAATAATATAATTATGTCTGCAGTCTGATTTTTTAAAAAAAAGGTTTATTTAAGTAAAAAATATTGTTTAAATTGTAATAGGTAGCAACTAAACCTACATTAAAAGTGATTTGCTAATACTTGTAAATAATAAATAATAAAATATTTGTATTTTTAGCTTGATGCGTAAATTAGAAGGTTTTATTTTTACTACACCTAATGTGTTTTTATTCTTTTTTGTGTCTGAACACAAGACATCTTCTAACCGATGAATCAATTATTTCGTATAGCAATTAGCAACCCTATAAACCAGAAATCGTACCAGAAAGGTACTTAACTGGGCCACAATTGTAAAAAGTTCTTTCTTTCCACTTCAAAGTCGAGAAAAACACCCAAAAGTTCACTTTTTTTTTAGACTTAAAATTATAGCGCTCTATTAACTTTTTAAAAATAGTCGAATAAAAGATAAAAGTTAAAAAACTAAACAAAATGATAAACCCTTTCCCCCTAGAAGGGGTGGCATTTTTTCTTTATTTCCTTTTTTAGTCGAATTTTTATGGTAGCAACTCATCAAACAAAAATCATAGGCGAAGGTACCTTATTCATTATTGATCCGAAAATCTAAAAAGTTAACTCCCTCCCCTTCAAAATATTGTTTTTCTTAATTTTTTAACTTTAATTACGGCGCTCTATAACTTTTTAAAAAATGGCTAAGTTAGTTCCAAATTTGTATGGAATATTCTTAAGACATAATACCATAGAATTTCATTTATACTGTGATAATATGAGTACTAACGATAAACATTGACAAACCAAAAAAATATATACACTTTCCCCTAAAAGGGATATACATTTTTCCTTTAATTCACATTTTCAAGCAAAGTTTCAGGTATTTAGGTCTGAAAATTAAACCTAAGGTAAATCTAGAATGGGGCTATAACATATTATACAATTTTTTCAAAAATCAACTACAAACTTTTTTTATTTGAAAGTGACATTATCACTCTCAGACTTTAGTTGTAATAAATCATAATACCCGTGACCTCCACTGCTCCAATATTCTCCATCCATACTATGCCCCACTAGACAGAGTACTGGCTTCTTAAAATTGTTTTATTTGTTTCTTGACAAAATACATACAAGTATTACTTTTTTAACGCCTTCATAAATGTTATTTATACATCATTTTATATCTTACATACTTTATAAATAATAACAACATGGTCTTAACTTCTCGGTGGAGTTTACATACATCGGATTCACCTGTTTTTTTTCTGTGGGAGTTCTGGGGCACTTATGCTGTCTGTTTTTAAGCACTTTGTATAAGCAATATTTAAGAAAAAAGTGGTTTTAATAAATTTCGACCATGTTAATTAATTTTTGCAAGCTTCAAGGTATTATTTTTATTTTATATAATTTTTGCTTAATTTAGACCAAAAAGCTAGACAAAACTTCGACTACTTTATATGAATATTTTTCATTTTCTCGGGACAGTTGACTTTATATTGTTAAATATTTTATAAATAAAAATTATTTAGTTTATTAAGTCATAAAAATTGCAACATCGTTCGATATCAGTGATCTGGTGGTTATTTGTATTTAATTTTGTATGTAATCATACGGAGGAACAATAGTTAAAACTTCGCAATTTTATCGTATTTTATACTTGAGTAGGTAATCAATTCATGAGAGTCTTTTAATTAATTGAGGAAAATTGGTTGCATGACAATATCGGGTGCATGTAAACTGTGTCACAATGACCTTTCCTTAAAGTCTGTTTTTTTGACGTTTTAGACCTAAAAGCCAGACAAAATTTTGACTACTTATTATGGTCCAATTTCAAATCTGTAAAGAGATTCGAGTTATTTGGCTACTTTACTATGTTATGTAGGAAACATATTTTCATTCAAAATTTCAGTTTCTTCTAATTAAATTAATTAAACTTGCAGTTTTTTCAGTATTAAAACTCAATTTTTTACATAAAAAAATAAAAAATCTGTTTCCTAAATAACCTAGTAAAGTTTCTAAAAACCTCGTATATCTTTACAAAATTGAAATATGTTATATTAACTTAATATAACATAAACACAAATTTTTTCAAAAAGAATAACTACAAAAATTATATTATTTTAAAATAAATCTAGCATATTCTTCTTTTAATTATTAACAAAATCACTGCATTATAGTAAATTTTTTTTTTAAGTAAAAAAAAAAAACGGAAACAGTAAACAAGTTAAAACATTGTAAAAAATGAAAAAAGTATTCTAACCATAAAATATTATTTTTCCACTCAAAAATATATTTCAAATATAATACATTGAAGAAATGAAACAACAATATGGAACACATACACACAAATACTTATTTTCTATCTATTCTTCTTTTTATTCCGTAACAAAATAAATTATATTTATAAATTCCGAGTATAAATAATAAACAAAATTATATATATATATATATATTATATAGAATTCTTAACAAATATAGATGAACAAAAAAATTATGAGGGCTCAGTCCATCCTTAAAACCCCTTACTCTTTCCGTTATTGAAAAACATGTGTGAAAATATCCTAAAAAAGTACGCTTCATTCAAAATTTGTTTCTTACATACTTTCATTAAATTAAATTTCATAAAATACAATTTAAAAGTATTTAGTTTATTTAATAGCTGACAAACTTTATTGATGTTTAAATTTAATGAGATCTAAATGTGTGTTTATAAACAATTTTCGCATAATACAATTTACGTCAGTCAAAATCCAGAATATTGTTTGTAATATTAACAAATATTCTTTTCTCAATTCTAATTAAAATTTGTATTTCTTTTTTTTTTATAAGTATACAATTGTAATTAATACATGGAAAATGGAAATACATTTAATAAATAAAAATAATCTTTATGAATAATTTATATTAGTTAATAGAAATTAACTAATATTATTATTCTCAACTAATACGTCACTACCATTTGCTCCAAATGTTAGGTCGTGTGACCCTTTTGGTTCTTTACAGCTTTTTGATATTTTCATTCATTCTTGATTATCCTACATATACATTTTCTGGTAATAGTTTTAAAATAATAAAAAAAAAGTAAGATATAAAATTTAAATATTAAATTTGTTACATATTATACTAGTTATACAGTATGCCATACTTTGGTTCATAACTACTGTTTTTAATATGAATTAATTTTCACAGATGAAACTCAATCGATATTTTACAAGTTTTACACATAATAATAATAAACAAGGGGTAAATCATCAAAATTATTATTTTATAATTTACTAAAATATTTATAAAAATTGAAAAAAATTCAATTAATTAACCAGTTCTGACCCATATTATTATACTATCAGTTCTAACTTATACATTCTTAGGATTTTGAAAAGTACCAGTCGAAAGTATAAAAATCTTCCAGAGTGGTCAAAATTGTTCTTGTTTCTAGCTATTCAGTCTTAGTCTTCTTTAATTGGTATCTATTATTGATTATATGATATTGTATTTCATATTTCAATATTTTTATGAAATATACTACAAAATTTTCAAAAACTGCAGTTTTTTTTTTATTGTTAAAAACAACGTCAGCCGTTCCTAAAGACCGTCCAGATCTGTCATAATGTACTGTTACTGTTTTTAATGGTCCAAACTCATCAAATAATTCCTGTATGTCTGTAGAAGTAACTCCAAAGTCCAAATATGAAATAACAATTTTGTGTATATTAGTAGTTGAAAGTCTACCTCTAATATTTTGTCTCTTAGGTCCATCATACATGTCATCATGTCATGAGTCCAATATACGTCGTAGTGGTGGCAGACAAGGTCCCAGAGGTGGTAATGCCAAACGTGGTGGCGGATCCAATTTTCGATCGAACTGTGCCGGAAGTGGTGGCAGTGGTGGCAGTGGTGGCCCTATGCGTAGAGGCAAGCCGGCGGCAAGGAGTTCCAACGGATTTTCACCATACACAAAAGAGTGATGTAAATTCATCTTGGACTCATGACATGTATGATACACCTAAGAGACAAAATATTAGAGGTGGACTTTCAACTACTAATAAACACATAATTGTTTTTTCAAACTTGGACTTTGAAGTTACTTCTACAGACATACAGGAATTATTTGATGAGTTTGGACTATTAAAAACAGCAACAGTACATTATGACAGATCTGGACGGTCTTTAGGAACAGCTAACGTTGTTTTTGACAGTAAAAAAAAAAAAAAACAAAACTGCAGTTTTTGAAAATTGTTTAGTATATTTGATAAAAATATAAAATAAATCCAATTGCGAATTATTCAATTACTCAATTGCGAATGAAAAATAGCTGTTGCTTAGAGATGGACTATGTATTTATTGTTGTGTTCATAAATCGAGTTTTTTATTTCCCTAATATCAGAAATTATTATTATTTTTAACATAGGTATGTTTTTAGGCTGGGAGTCATTATGAAATTCGTGTTACGATTTCGTGTATTAGAGTATAGACATAAGGATGTAATCGACATTAATACTCCCATCGACATAAAGATCGAGATTATATATTGAACTATAATTATGGGTACAGGGTTTTAGAACACACACGTGTTCATTTCCGCCGCCACCATAAAATGGTGATGTTAAAATTTTTAAAAAGGTATTCGGTACTTCAATGAGACATGAATAATGATATGTGAGATTAGAGATATGTTATTGGGATGTAGATGGAGTTCGAGTTGGAGATGCAGATGGAGTTGGACTTTCATTTCTTTGCCGTATATGTCTGCTACGGTGTTCCTGGTTCCGACCAATTAATCGATTAAGGCCAAATATTAAAAAATACTAACATGTACATGTGCCTATGTATCCGCTTGTAGTGTGGATACTTTGAATTTTTTTTTATATTACATTATTCTAATAAAATGTAGTTTTTAATAAGTTAAGCTGTTCTGACGGTATGCGTCTCATATAAATTATCATTCGCTATAGTTGCTGAGCAATGCATAGCAAACTTCTTAACATAGGACCCTCGTACTTAGGAAGTGCGACATTGGCGGCCGTCAATTTGCAATGTATATTAATACAAATAAAATCTTTATGGTTATACGGACCCGTAATGCTAAAACATATCCATGATTCAATGTTTTTCAGTGGAGCGGAAAAAATAACTAGGGTTTTTTTTAAATTAGTGGTTCATTTAATGATTATTATCATACCTACATATTAAAACCAAACTTGATTTGTAAGGTCGTTTAATATTTACACTCATACTAATTGTAAATATTGCCTTCGTGAGCATTATTATTAATAATAAATAAAGTTATGAAGAATAACTAGAATATTATGTTTTAGCCAGTAGTAGCCAAATACAGTTTTATAAGTTCTAACTTACGATTTAAATGAAATAATTATAACAACAAAATTAACTAGGTATATACATTTAGTAATACTTTACTTTAAATTCTAATTAAAAGTTAAAAGTTAAAACAGTTATATTTTGTGATAACGGTTATGATAACAATAACCACTGTGGTAACTTGGGAGCTTCTGACCATCTGGGAACCTATGACCGAATGCCCTTTTCTTTAACTCGCTAACACTTTTGTAAGGGTATTTTTCAAATCTTGCAAAATTAATTAACCCACTTCACGACAAACTATTTTCCCAATACTATATGCAACATAGCTATAGACTTTAATTATTAAAAATTTTTAATCAAGCTTTTCTAATAAGAATTATTGAGCATTCTTGTATGGCATACATAGGTAATACATTTTATAAATATAATGGACTAATCTAGAAAACGGTTTAATACTAATAAAACATGTAAATTTGTACTTCTTACTTTATCTAATGAAAGTGGCTAGTCTACAATCCACGATACCCTAATATATGCTGATGAATACATAAATCTTTTTACATATAGATAACAAAGTTCACATGAATTAGACAATACATATTTTAAAAAGGCGAGAAGAACACTATAAAAAAGTGAACATAAAAATTAAATACACCTAAATTATTTGAAGTATGTATTTATTTAATTATTAAAATAATTAAAAAATATTCATGACATCATATTAAAATTATTTTATCAATGGATATAGCTATAATTTATACACACATACTCAAATAATTGAGTTCTGATTATAGGTTACTGCGGTAATTAATAATTGTCAGGTCTTAACTAGATTATAAGTTTATAACTGTCTTAACCAGATCAGTGATCACTGACAGTTGACACTTAGTAGGCTTACTTCATAATTAGTCACATTACACTTAACACTTTTATAGTTTTATATTTCGTTAGATGAGTGGTACCAGTGGTGGATTTTCAACATTATTTTTTAAATAATATGTATTTTAAAGGCTAATGCCAATAAAAAAGTGTTGGCTGTACTTTTATTTATGTTATATTAATGTAATTTGTATTAATTAAAGTTTAAAGGTAAATATTTTACAAAATAAAATCGAATTTATTTTTTATTTTTGCAAAATTTGGTCAATACTGTTAAACAGTTTGCAACCCTATGAATTCCTATGAATATTATTATTTCATTATATAATATTATATCGGCGTCTTGGGATGGGGGTCAAGACCCTATGGACCCATACCCCCGTAAATCCGCCACTGAGTGATACAATCGAACTTGGTGTGTATTTTAATAAATAGGTACGCATTAATATCCTAATCAAAAGTACCTAAGTATATATTTTTTAAATTGATAATAACACATTGATAAAGAAATAGGATGATATGGTATGATACATTAAATATAAGAAATACGACTAAGTATCCAATCGAAGTAATATAACATGTATAAACTATTATAATACTTAATTTACCAAATATATGACATTCTAATATTAGATACATAATACTTAACGAAAATAATTTGGTATACGTCATTATATTTTTTAGTAGGCAGTATTTTTAAACATTTATAATAATATAATAAAAAAACATATTCATTCATTATCATTCTATAAGTAAATAATTATTCTCTACGTTAAACGCGTAGTAGAATTAATCATTGTAATTTCGTTTCCTAACCATAGCGTAAATAGTTAAGAGTGAGAATATTAACACCAAGATTCCAAAACTGTTTAAAGCCAAACCCTCAGATGGGTATTTTTTGTATTCCGTATTTCTGCAAAAAAAACAAACAATATTTTTTGTAATAACAATATATAATATTTTAATATTTGTTCTGTGATCATAAATCACACATCAGCTGTCATTTATACATTTTCTACAGTCCAATAAATTTAATAAGGTTGTAACGGACCCACCCTTATCAGGGCTAATAGATACATATATATATTTATTACATTGTACAACTTATCAGGACTAACATATACATATATCTATATATTATATTATATAACTTCTCATTGTTAAATATTGCTAAATATGAATGTACCACACGTGCCGATTTCACATCAGACCCAAAAGGTCATTACAGCATCTTGCGAAAGCAGACAACTTGCAATTCTGTTCACAGTTGACCTCAAACACGAGGCCAACCACTAAGAGAAACTTAACGTTTTGGCAACTACCGTGCGAATCTCACATCGAAGCTAGCCAATTTCGACCATGCGAAGGCTGCACTCTCATGCCTCTACCCTTCCTCCACCGTTGACATAAGCGGATGTCATGGACGAGCGAGGTCATCCACACGCGGACTTTCGATAATTGCGAGGATTCCCACGGCCATTCAGCGAGCGGACCAACATATAAGGGAAACTTCAGTCATAGCAGACCAGATGTGCTGGGACCACCATACACTACACTTGAAGTTTCTACCTATCATCTTCTTTTGAAGTCTTAAGCGGCTTATAATTGTCTTAATCATCATATTTTTTAAGCATACTGAACTTATGCTATTAACTGTTTGTCGTTGTACATGTTTTATAAGTATATTAAATTAAATGTTTGTGATTTACTCTGAAGTTATTCTATTAAATATCTAAAAACCTATCACCACGATTGTGACAACACTCAAACAGCCTGCAATACATACGTACAGGGCTACAGGGTTGTTACAAGGTATTAAAGTTATATTTATGGTTTGTCGTGTATGTTATCATATGTATACGCATTATATATTACATTGTTTATATTATGTAATCTGTATGGTAATCACCCATCACAAGTACACTACCTAGTGTTCCTGTTCAACTATTAAATTTGAATAACTTTAAAAATGATAAATTTGTTGAATATTGTGTAACTCGGTAATGGAATTTAAGTGATGCGAGTACACTTGGATAGTAAGTGGTAAATAGTGTAGAAAAAATGATGTAGGTATTTTGGATTAGCTAATAAGGAAGAGCGAGACGATTTTTTGGCCTATTCCATTTGTACTGGACGAGACGAGGAAGAAGAAACGTATTTAAACATTGTCTTTTGTAATTTACTGGGTATATATTGCCAATAGGAATAAGTTACTCCATCAGATAATTTGTGCTTAAATGAATTATTGAACGCAAAATATGATTATGCAATGTTGTTAAGCTTACAATTTGCAAATGGCGTGCTCGTTAACTCCGATTAAGCTGGCTAAGGTGGCGATCACTATTGTGTATAGACTGAACTGCTTGCCTAGCAACAAACCGATTCTGTGAAAGCGAGGCATTGCAAAGGTTATCACAGCGGTAAGCCACTGCAACGTGAAAAACAACATAGCAGTGGCGCCGATCCAAGAGTGTAGCGAAAACAAGTGATCCGACAGCACACTTTTCGAGTCTGGGGAATCGCTAGATTTGCCCATTTCCTTGCGCACAACCGCAATAAAGACAGACAGCACCGATACGAGAAATGCAAACGTATTTACCAAAATGAAAGGCAGAGTGGCATTTTTTTTACCTTTTTTTATCATTAACATGGCTGAAAATAATAAACTTAATAATTATACCAAGACGTGCAAGGCTAGCCTAACTTAGCTCTATTGTCACTAGAACAGCTAGGCTTCAGGTCTAATGGTTAGTATAATATTCACAAAATCTTAATTTATAGGTTAAACTGTGATGTGTAATTATTAGTTCAATAACTAGGACTCTATTTCGGTACTTAATTTATTATTTGGACTATCACAGCATCCTCGAAAGCGATTTAAAAATGTTTTTTCATCTCTACATGTTTAAGCAGACTGAAAAAAACTCGCTTAATTTTGGTTTTAGAGTAAAAGCACCCATTATAAAATTAAAAGAAAACAATATTCCAGAGGGCAAGACGGTGCGTTTTTTTCATTATTCCAAGTATAACGCTCAATAAATAGTTTAGAAATAACGACTATTTTACATTTTTAAATGACTAACTTTTCAAAAAAAAAATTTTTTGGCACCGTCTTGCCCTCCAGCATATTGTTTTCTTTTAATTATATAGTGGGTGCTTTTACTCTAAACCTAAAATTAATCGAGTTATTTTCAGTCTGCTTAAACATGTTTTTACCACTGAAAATCACCGGTGCGACGCCCTCTTAATGACTTGAAGTATGTGTTCTCAGAACGTCAAGTTGAATTTTCAACTGCAATTTTAATCCAACCTAACCCGTCCGAAGTCCATAGTAATATTTTTCTGTTGTTCTTTGAGAATTTCGGATGGAAATATTATTTACTCATACCATAGGTTTTAAAATATACTGATAAGCGGTACTATGCAAAAGCATAGCGACTACTTTAATGCTGAATTCCCGTTGTCAACAGAAGTACCCGTCATAGTTTACCATCCGCCAGTACATAAACTAATTAGGTCAATGTTCATACTTACAATTTCCGTAAAGGTATATGAATCCCACTGTGCCCAGTGTAAAGTGCCAATTGCGTATCTGTGTCTTACTGATGACCACCGAGTTTCCATTACCTGACTCGCTAAAATATCCCTCTTTGTATATTACGGAAATGCAAACGATGGCGGCCACGAAGGCCAATCCAATAGCTTGAAAAAATGTCCAGAGAAGCAGACTAATTGAAATTACGCCTTCTTCATTGTCGCCGCCGTTGCTTTTGTCTAAATCAAATTGCATTTTTAGCAGTATTTTAAGCTTTACTCGGGTGTATATGTCTGATATAAAACTAGAAGGAATTGAAGGTTAAAAGAAAATTAATAACAAAAGGTAAACGTTAAGTGTGAGATTTGAAGAGATTAATGCCACGAGCCACTGTTTGAGAAGCCTTTATAAAATATATTTTTCAAAATATTAATTCAAATATAGTATATATATATTAGCCCGTGTTATAGTTTGATCCAAATGATCAGCTTAAAATAGGTAAACCTTAGTTGTAATCCTAAAACTGCGCTCCTGAAATGTATACGCTGGCTAAACATAACATATACTTCAAATCAAGTTGTAAAAATTCATACTCCAAATTATTCTACATTTTAACTAAATTTAGACTAATCCACAATCTTAAGCTTACACATTCGTAGCAATAAAAAATTAACTATGATCACCATTTACAATTACATATAAGTATATCAAGCATTAATTATTAGATCTAATTTTGGAAAAGCCTTACTTTCGTCTAAGAATGGTGTAATTAGCACATATAATAGAATGCATTGGAAAGGTATACAACATAAAACCAATATGATAATTAATAACAAAAAGAAGGATGACATATGTATTAATATTCAATATAGTATATTAATTTTCAGTTAAAACTTACCATAATTTTGTGCTTGTTGGGTAGACTTGGCTGTACCATCTTAAAACACAAACATATAATTGATTGATTAATTTTAAAATGTGTTATAACTCTTGGAGGCTCCGTAACAAGCAAATGATAAGAGATACCAACGGTTGGAGAATTGAAATTGACAAGACTAAAGATGTCTTACGTTAAGTCCACAAGGACACATACAGCTCAATAATAATGAGCCATTTTCAATATACAAAAACCAATTTCTTAAATCGACCAAAGCGTGTTTACAAACGATTAATTTACTGATAAACTAGGATTTAAGTATAATTATATTTTTAATAAATAAACACAATATTAGAAATAATATTGATATTTTATTACATTACAGTATTCGAAGGTAAATAATAGTATAACATAGTTGAATAAATAAATACAAAATTGAATAAATTTGGTTCTAATCAATTTATATAGTATAAGACTCTCTCCAGGCCGTATCTAAAACTAATAGTATGGCGCAACAGTAACGGTCTGTGTTGTGCTTTGGACTGTCTAAAGGACGCAAGGTAGTCATGTTGGAATGTTCAATGTAAAATGGATCGTGTATTGGGACGCGTGTTTTTTAAAGTATTTTTTATTGATTATATAAACTGTACAATAAGCAGGTATACAATTGTGTAGGTATTTGTATTTCTACACGGCGGTAAAAGTTAATAATTGCAAAGCTGCTGATCGATTGGTGTTCCACAAAAAAGGGAATTGCCTACTTGAATACTACACAAGCTACGTTGAAGTCAAAGAAAATAAAACTTAAGAGTTGTTCGTATGAAGTACTACCGAAAAAACAAGCTTACTCGCTGTGGGGTTTCCCAGATCTTTTACTGCTGCGCTGTTGCCAATTATGTGTTCGGCGACCGAGTTGGACGCATCCTCCAATTCCAACACTTCAGAATCGTCTGGAAACGAATATACAAACACAAATAAAAAACGGTAGGAAAGACAAATTTAGGCTATATACTGACGAAGTTAAGTGCAACGAGTACCTTTGACAGAACTAGTAGTGCTTCCAACCGTTTGCAGAGCATACGCCATGTTCAAGAGATGAAAAACTGACTGGACCTAAACACCTTAGGTATATGTGTGGGTAAACGTCAAAACGTTAGCACTACGAAAAAAAATGTTCTACACACTGTCATGGACGGCTTTATTCGCAAATGCATTTATAAGCTAAACCCCAGATTACTCGTGTAGATAAATATCTATTACTATAATAATAATATACTTGACACTCAACCATACAAGTGCTCTATACATTATAACACTCAGATTTTATTAAAAAATTATAGTCATTTCCATAATGTAACATCAACGACCTCGTGTATCTATGCTTTCATCGATTGTAGTTTCGAACGCAACCAATACTGTACCTATATTGTCCGTTCTATTTTTTTTTTTGCAACATTGTCATAAACGGTATTTGATAAATTTCAGAAACACGCACGTGTGTGTACTGTAATTCTATTATGAAGGTACTAGACAGTGACAAACCGTGTGAGATTAAAGTATTATCGAACTAGAGTTGGCGCATTCTAATCTTGACAAATAAAGGCGTTCTTTTAATCGAACCACTTTAGATACAAAAATGGTTGTTGTACGCTGTACAATCAACAGCATTTAGAAACACAAAAATGTGCAAAATAATCCATTGATGAATGCATGGAAAAAATTACAATTTAAAATTTGATGTTGAACATGGTTATTTGTATATTTAATCTATGACTTGACGCTTAACCCATTATTTTTATTCGTTATTAGATTATTGTCGGTAATTTGACAACAAGTAACAACATTAAGTGCTCTATACATTATAACAATCAGATTTTATCATTAAATATAATACATAACAACTGTAGGAAGTACTAATTTAATTATATTTGTAACGTTTAATCGTTATCTTTTTAATTGTTTAAATAAAAGCAATACATTTTTTTTGGTTAGAGGAATTGTGATTTGTGTGACAATAAAACTATTAACTATAGGTCTGTATTTAAGTGATGTATGTTTTTTTTTGTTATTATTTAATATTAATTATAATTTGCAATCATATATTATTTTAAATAATAATTATGACTTAATACCTTTTACCTGCCGATCCTTCTTTTTTATTGTAATTTTGATTAATACCTAACAAAAACTGTATACATTTTTGTAATTTATAATTTAATCATTCTTTAAATAAAATAATTAAGACATTTCAATAAGCTTTAAAAATTGTACAACGAGTTAATCAATTTTAACGAGTTAGAAAACTTGTGTAAATAATAAAGGTCAATATTAAAAAAAAGTATTACATAGAGGTAATACTTGTAACGTTTGGATTTTACTAGTCGAGCACGTTTACCTTCCCTAACTTAAGGGGTAAGAGGAATTGGGTTTGAGGTAAATAAATAATAATGTTGAATGTCTGACATTGGTCTAATAAAGATAATTATAATATAAAAATGTGCAAAACACGTAGCGAGTTAAAATATTATATAAATAGAATAACTGTTTATAAAGGGAAAAGAAAGAAAGGCTTAAGACCGGGAGGCACAGGTCGGCAGTAATAGTAATATATTACTACTGGCCTAACTGAAGGTAAGCAATCGGTATGACTCACCGGTATTTGTGAACCGTCTATGTGCACAAATCCCTTAGTACGGTCATAATCGAGCACATGAACTTTGAGTCATACACGATTGTTGTCGGGAGGTGTAGCCGAGAACGTGAGACATCAAGTAACATAACGATAGTGAGGTTTCTTACTGGGTTTTTAGGGGTACGCCTGGTTGGTTACTAGACTGGAAACGCTACCTAGGACCGCCAGTACGTGGTACTAATGCGTTTCATAGTCAAATGGCTTGTAATTTATTATTAAGCTTGATAAATCGATAAAAACCACCTAATTAAGAATAAAACATGGTTTTTCTTAATTTTCTACTTATTAAGTACATTTTTAGATGTTTAAAAAGCCCTTGGTTGCTAACAATTCCTAATAAAGTCTATTTAAAATAATTGTACCATCTTCATTTCTGAGAACCATTATATATATTTAATTTTTAATAAATATATATATATATTTTTTATATTGAGAAAATATATAATCTGTACAATTTAAATCACAATAAATAATATATTACAAAACATGTGATACTTTAATAAATAAGCCACCCATTAGTGACACTTAAATTTGATCACACTATATTCAACACATAATTAATAAATTGCCTAATAAATTAAAAATCAAATAGTAGGTATCTATGTTACATTTTTTAGGATAACTGGAGTAACTGTAATCAATAAGGTTGCAAATGTATTTCATAAACATGAAAATTGATAATATATAATTAAATTAATATGTACAAAAAATTAATTATGTTCACACCTTTTTTTAACGAACAAATGCCTTAAACAATTATAATAATCTTTAATTTTATCATTTTTTTTTATAAAAAGTCAAATTAATTAATCTTTTGTAGAAAATTCTTCGTATAATAACATAGTATTACCATTGAGTATATATTGTACAATATATACTCAATGGTATTACTAATTACAGTTAAAAAACAAAACAAGATGTCATTTATCCCTTTTCCTAGAAAGGGAGGAAGGAGACTTTTTATATATTTTACACATTTTTCCACTTAAACACGCTTTTATTTTTTGAAAAATATTTTAATTAGTTTTACATTTAGGTGGAGTTTTCTGTAGATATAGCACATCATTAATGTATTAAAAACCCAAATGAATAACTTGAAAATAATTCACTAATTAAATTTATCGTACATTGAAATTTTTTTTCAAATGAATTAATGCTCAAATGCAAAATCAAATATCTAACTGTACTTAATTATTAAACACTATTGGCCTTTCTATGGAGCTGAGAGTTTAAAGGTATACAATGAAGCAAGACCATAAATCATAAAAGTGTTGGGGGGAAGTTATAACTTTCTTGATTTTTAAAAATTTAAGTAAGTGAATTATAATTACTAATATTATTATCAATGATAATAGTGAGGAGATAGATACTTATCATAGCTAGATAAATATTAAAAGATTATATGTATTACCAGGTAGGTTGGATGTTTTCAATATTAATTGTTTTAAATTTACTTTTTTTTTGTATTAGGTATAATACTAATAAACTTATACAATAATTATAACATTTAAAATCACTGCACATACCTATTTAACAAGTTAAGTACGTCTTATATTCTACTAGGTAAAAGTGTTATTGTTCAGACGATTTTAAATTGATCATAAAACATAAGAGACAGTAGTCAACTCGTCGAGAAATGGACTGATAAGTAATAAAAAACAATACTAATTATACAACAATACTAACACTACTAGACATTTAGTTGTAAGGTGGGGTTGCAAGTTACAACTTCGACGACGACAAAACTCATTATAAACGAATTACAGCAGGTAGACGTAGATATCTTTTAATCTGTAAGACGTTATTCTTTATCTATGATTATTATTTTTATTTTCTTTGGTTAATGTTGTTACTTGTTGTCAAATTACCGACAATAATCTAATAACGAATAAAAATAATGGGTTAAGCGTCAAGTCATAGATTAAATATACAAATAACCATGTTCAACATCAAATTTTAAATTGTAATTTTTTCCATGCATTCATCAATGGATTATTTTGCACATTTTTGTGTTTCTAAATGCTGTTGATTGTACAGCGTACAACAACCATTTTTGTATCTAAAGTGGTTCGATTAAAAGAACGCCTTTATTTGTCAAGATTAGAATGCGCCAACTCTAGTTCGATAATACTTTAATCTCACACGGTTTGTCACTGTCTAGTACCTTCATAATAGAATTACAGTACACACACGTGCGTGTTTCTGAAATTTATCAAATACCGTTTATGACAATGTTGCAAAAAAAAAAATAGAACGGACAATATAGGTACAGTATTGGTTGCGTTCGAAACTACAATCGATGAAAGCATAGATACACGAGGTCGTTGATGTTACATTATGGAAATGACTATAATTTTTTAATAAAATCTGAGTGTTATAATGTATAGAGCACTTGTATGGTTGAGTGTCAAGTATATTATTATTATAGTAATAGATATTTATCTACACGAGTAATCTGGGGTTTAGCTTATAAATGCATTTGCGAATAAAGCCGTCCATGACAGTGTGTAGAACATTTTTTTTCGTAGTGCTAACGTTTTGACGTTTACCGTCAATAATAATAGGTTCATATTATATTGTTATAAGAAAATTACTTGACGACTGTAGTAACTGAGCTGCTGCTTGATCATTAAACAATGAGCGGTGAGTTGCGAATGGTATTTCTGTTTTAATAAATGGTAAATCATTTTTAATAAAAGATGCCATTTCACTTTTTACAAAAGAACTGCTTCCGTAAGAAAATGTAGGGATATTGTTATTATCTGGACTGGTAGACATTTGTACTGATTCTGGTCTATCGGAAACTGGTTTTCTTTCATGTTGCACGGCTGATTGAGAAAAAAATATATATAATTAGATCAATTATTATTGATTTAGACTGTATAAATGTATATTGTATTAAATTTTATATACATTCAAAATTAGATATTTTTTTTGATATAATATTATTTTTAAAGACTAAATGCAGTAAACATGTATGTTTTTTGATTAAGACTATTTAGTAAGCATCTACTTTTCTATGTTTCTATAGACCAGAAATTGTACATAAAACGTATTACATTAAGAAAAAAGTTAACATTTATTTTTCATACTTATATACTGTTTTTTAAGTATTTAATATAATTAAAACGTACTATTTTCAACTAATAGTGTATTTTGCTTGAGCATAATATTACACTATACTTACCATTTTTTTTTGCATTACTTATCATGATGTGTGTTCTTCTTGACATTTTAAGTATGAATTCAATAGAACTATTAAAATATTAAATGTAATTGAATACCTCGACTTAGGCTCTCTACATCGACTAAATCATCGGTTCACCATTTTAATGATAAAGGAACTTTATCACACAAAACGGGATATCACATTTTTTTTGCGGGAATAACTTTTAATGTTTCAAAGATACGAACGATATTTTTTTTAATAATTTGTGTTGGCACAATCCTTATGAAAATGTTAGGTAATATAAAAACAAATACTGCTTTACATAATATATTTAAACCATACAATTTAATAAAATATAACAGTAAACAAAAATAATATATTATGTTTTAGAAATAGTACGTGTTGGCATTAAGTATATAATATTACTCAATGGTTTTGGATCAAGATAGAAATAGTGCGTTTTAAAAAAAAAATGATAAAATTAGTTTGTTTGATTTTTAACATGTATGTTTTACCGCTGGGGGTCATTCTTAATATTTATCCGAAACGTAACGCTGGATGTAACACTCTGACGTCACCCTCGGCGGCGGCGGAGGAAAAGGGGGAGATTAGAGATAATAGATTAGTGATAAGATATTCGAGATACTAGATTACAGATAATAGAATAGAGGAAAGAGATTAGAGATAAAATAGAGATTATATATTAGTTAAGAGAAAAGAGATTAGAGCTAAAAATAGAGATAATAGATTAGAGATAAAAATATCCGTCGCACTTCTTACCGTAAGATCGATGTACCTTTAACTCGATTTTGATCAAAATAAAACCAATAGTACGTTTTGCATTGTCGTCCCACTATTATCAGCTACATGGTAAAGATCGTGAGCTATATCCACAGACCGTGGCTATAATTTTAGGTAATTGATAGGACAGAACATACGACATTCTTTGGTTCTTGTAAGAAAAAGAAGTAAGAAGTGGTGACCTCTTACTTTTTGACGAAACAGGATTAGGTTTAATTGCGTTTTCAAGGGGGGGTCAATAGGGACATCACCCCCTCCGAGTGCTTTACCACATATTATTTTGTTGTTGGTCTTATAATATAATTAATTATTGTACAATGTACATATTATTATATAAACAAAACTAAACACCGTGAACAATTAAAAAAAAAAATTGTAATAATGAATTTTTTTACTTAAATATATTTAAAGTAAATTTTAATAGTGTTCTAACTAAACAAGAAAAATATCACTAATACTCACTCCAGATTATGGAAAAGTACCGAAAAGAATTTTCTTTAGGAAACGAAATCTATCATTATGAAAGGAATTTATCAAATATAATTTCAATAATGATAAATTATTATAATGGTTTTAAAAATCCAAACAAAAAAAATATCAACAATTTTCTTTTCATCCATATAATATATCCTCAAGAGAAGAACAAAAAATAATATCTTCTTCTTCTTTTTCTTCAAGGCGTTTTACAGGCCATTAAAGCCCATTGCCGCAACAACCACGTGTCTCCATCTGTCTCTGTCTAACGCCAGTTCTTCTCCATTCTCTATTCCAAGTTTTTTCAAGTCTTCGACCACTCTATCCTTCCATATTTGCCTAGGACGTCCTCTAGGTCTCTTCGTGTCTGGTCTCCATTTCGTCACCTGTCCAGTTGGTCCTTCCGATCTCCACACGTGTCCGGTCTAGCTCAATCCACTACTTTTTAGAACTCCGATGATATTTACTTCTCCGTATAGGTCTTGAATCTTCTGGTTTGTCCTTATCTCATATTCTTTAGACTCACTTCATCTTCTACAATTATAATTAAATCATTTGCATATGCAACCACTACTAATTGTTTGTCAATTCCAATTTTAATTCCATTCGCTGTTAGTAGGGTTTCTCTTACGACTGATTCCAATGCTATATTGAACAGAGCTGGGGACAAGGCATCACCTTGTTTAAGCCCTATTACTATTACGAAGTCCTCCGACATGACATCTCCGAACTTCACTTTACACTTTGATCCCTGTACACATGCACGGATTAGTCTTACAAACTTTTCAGGTATACCCAAATGGCACATTGCGCTCTATAGCTTCTCTCTGTTCACCGAATCATAGGCGACCTTGAAATTTATAAAAAGAAGGTGTATATCCTTGTCAAATTCGTGACTTTTTTCAATTATTTGCTTAATGACGTGTATCTGATCCAGGGTTAACCTCACTGCCATAAACCCTCCCTGGCAATCTTCAATAATTTCTTGTATATAAGTTTTTATTCTAATAAGTAGAATATTGAACAGTACTTTTTACGATGTGTTCACGGCATGGTATTTCTTCACGTTCCCATACTTTAATAATCAAATTGTGTATCTGATTTGTTAATTGGTGACCTCCTTTTTTAAGCCATTCAGAAATGATTTCATCCTCCCCAGCAGCCTTACCGTTTTTGAGCATTTCCAAACCAAATTCTACCTCTGCTCTTGATGGTGGTTCTATATTTTGCTCTACTGAGGCACGTTCTTTTATGATTATCCTTTCACTAGGTTGCTTTAATAGTGCATTAAACATTTTTTAAACTTATCTGCTATTTTTCCGTTTTCGGTCAATGACGTTCCATTTTCTCCTCTAATCATTGATGATTTACGTTTAAATCCATAATTAAGTTAATTTGCTTTTTCAAAAAATATTCGCACATTATTCTTTCTACTATTTTCTATGAGTTGTATTCTTTCTTTTTCCCATACTATTTTGTTCATCCTTATTGTTCTCTTTACCTCTCGCTGTTGCTAAAAATAATATATTAAGATTTTTTTTATTAAATCATTCTTATACAATATATTATAGGATATCGTAGGATGACAATTTAAAACATTAAAATTAGTGTGTAAGTAATTTTCTTACACTCGTAAATGTTTCCATGGGGTTAACGGAAATGGTTTGTAGAATTCTCAAACAGATGCGTTTGTGTCTCACAAACAAAACGAGAACATGGGAAACGTTTTACCGCAAAACGGGCTAAAGCTGAAGGGTCGAGAGAGTGAAATGTACATGACAATATGTCAGCGGTAACGTTCAATTTTACTTGTAGTAAGATTCCAGAACTCTTAGAAGGAAAATGTATAGGGTTAATTCTGAGTGAACTCTGTAAATTGTAGTGATAATTAAATGTAATATTGTGTATTGTAATCGTGCATTCACTATTATACGGCTGTGAGGGCTAAAATAACCGGCTATAAAAATGTTGCGTTTTCAGCTCACAATAATTCAACCAATAAACGACCATGTATTACATTTTTATAGTACCAGCACTTTAGGTGCAACTTCGGACTAGAAGGAATTAGGACAACTGTTAAAACATAATAACATCGTCTCTGTTCGGTTTCCTATACCGGTGCCGTACTAGTTAGAAATCACACAACTACCCAATGTTTAACAAATTAGCCGGTAATTAGACATTGCACCAACTACTTTCGTTAAAATTAAGTAACAATACCGAACGAACCAAAGTCTGAACAAGGCACTAATTTTCGTTAAAACTAATTTAGATTTCGTATTTTTTGTCTTTTGAATATATTTGGTGTGTTGTAACTATTTTTAAAAAATTATTATATTATTACAATTTTTTTCTAATTTTATCAACGTTTTAAATTCGAGTGACCACTTATGTATCAAAGGTTTAATTAAAAAATGTAGCTAGTACACTTTTTGTCAAAATGGGCTTACTATAGTCTGTATAATCTGATAAAAATAGAAACGTATTTTTGCAAAACTGTAGTAAATAAAATAGTCCATATTTTAACCGCTAGAAAGCGTAAGAAAAAGCATTTGAACTTTGAACTCTATATTTTGAAATGACGTCGATCAATCAAAATTGCAATTTCATAATTTCTTTATTCACTGCACATCACTCCACGGCTTCATCTCCATGTCTTAATTTAACACATTCACTTATTGATGGAAATTTAGGGAGGCTAGTTACACTCAAAACATTGTATAAGTTTAAATTAGGATTATTAAATTGCTATTCTATAACCTATCCCCTTGAGCACTTTATCATTTTCCTATCTAAAATTCAGAAAATATTTAAAAATAAATACCTATTCCGTCATTAGGTTATTTGGTCGATAGCGACACAAATCGATTTAAGTGGAAATTGTAGATCGCTAAAAAATTATAAGCTTATAAATAGGTGTAATAATTTTTTTAATGCATTTTGTCTTATCGTCATATTTATAGTTTTGATTTCACAAATATGATGTATTGCTGGCACGCGTCGTTGTTTATTTATTTATTTTTTTACTGCTGTAAATTATGATAACTATTGGCTAAGGATTCGCCC